AGACATCTGGCTGCATTCCACGGGTATGGCCTCCTTTTCCTGAGAGTAAAATGTGCTTGCTTATGACATCAGAAGAATGTGTTGACAGATCTGTATCCTGTTTCTGATTCTCTACTACATTTTATGGTGGGAGCAGTAGCAACAGCTGCTGAACTAACCTGGTCTTTTGCTTTTTGGGACAACTTCAGCTTCCTGTACATGGTTATAGAACCATATAGTTATGTTATTGCTGGATTTTGTTTATTGGTTTATTTATTTTGAGACCATTGGGGAAATTGGGTTAAGAGTTTTAGGGATCTTACTACTTGGCATTAACTTTTAGCTTAGCTTCTTCCAGCCTATCTGTAAAGCAATAACAAAATGGACTCTCAGCTAATAAGACAGCCGAGAGCCTCTGAAATGCAAAACTGGTAGTTTGAGAGAAAAATAGTGGCATATTCCTTTCTGTTTGCTCAAAATACTCTTGATACAAACAGAAAGGTAGGAGCAAAGAGAAAGCCTTCAAAATAAACCTTAAGATGTTGCTTGAGATATACAAGGTCATAGGCACTATGCACGGTGTTGTGGAAATGTAGTGATAAATCAGACCTGGTCCTTGCCCTCCAGTCTCTGAAAATCTACTTGGAGAGGCAAGATATGAATATGTGCAGAACTGACAATAAAGGGTTTATGTAGCAATCCAAGACAACAATAGAATTGTTGTCAGTGAGCATTTCAGGAGTCTGATTTTTTTGCCAAATAAGTTCTGAGGCCAGTTGGAACCGGTCAGAACAAAGGGTTCACTTCAGCCTGAGGTAGTTGAGTGAGGGGAGAGGGGCTGGCATGAGCAAAAGTATAGTCTCAGGTTGGTCCAGGTGCTGTGATGGTTGCCAGGAATCGCCTTTAGCAGGTGCAAGGAGAAGTGTGGGCAAGCTAAGGATAGGTGATAGTAGGGCTCCATAATGGCAGGGCTTCCACTCCCAAGTCATGTGACGTTTCACCCTGCAGCAAGAGGGGGAACAATGAGGAGACTTGGAATTTCCATGGCCTCTTGAGTCACAGCAGACTTGTGGTCTGAACCGTTTCTAGTCATCATACGGTCTTCAGGGCCACTCTTCCAGTATCATCTGTTTTTGCCACTTAAAGGGCACAATAGTTGAGGAAAAGCTTTCATCGTGGGGAATGAACAGCGGTCTCTTTAAACCAGGGACTTGCTTTTTTTCAGTATCACCTATTTTTGGCTTTGAAAAGCCTAAAAGGGAGGGTGGGGTGAGGACAGCCAACAGGTAGTTTTAGAAAGCGCTCTTCTAGCCTCCAGAATACTGTTCAATGACTCAGCAACAGGATTTTGCAATAGGCTTATAGAACGAGACCAACTTGCTTTTCCTAAGGAAGCTTTGGTGTCCTAAAAAAACCTCAGCTTGTGTCCCTGCCCTGCTGGGTTGAAATTCCTCCTGTCTTCTGCTAGAATGCTTGTAGCACATGTACTGGGACCGGTATCATGGAGTCCAAAGAGGGCTCTGGAATCAAGTTAGATTTCAGTTCAAACTCTTGACTCTCTCTAACTGGTTACATGACCTTGGGCGATTTACCGAACCTCTCCCAGTTACAGTTTCCTCATCTGTACACCAGAAATAACAACTACTTTGCAGGGGTGGTTATAAGGATTAAATGGCAAGTATTAAGTGGCACATAGTAGGTAGTCTGTATATTTTTCTATTATAACGTGCATAATATGCCTACAAAGGAAATGAGCTGTCTCTACTCTTAGAAACAGAACACTTCCTGACTTTCCAACTGCCCCTTTCCTTCTGAGCCTTCCGTAATATCCAGCTCCTTCAAGAAGATGTGCTCTTCAGGTAAGGGCAGCCCAACCTGAAAGGGGTCAGGGAGGAAATTCTGTTGTCCAAGCAGTGGACTGGACTGAACAAAGTGGCCATTCTTATTTTACCAGATCTACTTAAAAGATGCTTTATTTAGGAACTAATTGAACACAAAGATGGGGATTTTGGTAAAAAGATAAAAAACAGAGGATTTCTAAATATAAATCTTTTTTCCCCAATTTCCTAAGACAAAGATTAATGATTATTATGTGCCAGGCACAGTTCAAAACACATCACAAATATTAACTGATTTTCCCCTCAGAACAACTGTAGCTGTTATTGTGCCAGTTCAGTTGGGTTAACTGAGTCATGGTGTGATTTATGCAACCTGCTGAAATACCTGGGAAATTTTAAGCATACCTGGGTAATTTTAAGCATACCTATTGCAGTAGGGCTAGAAAATTATTGTATACAAAAATTAGTGGACAAGCGTCCATGTAAAACACCTTTTGACAAAGGGTTTAGCTATTAGCACAAGGGATTTTAATGCAGATGAATCAATAACACCATCATCTGCCATGAGTTCTCTCAGCTCTGCTTCCCATGTGACCTTAGCTCTTCTGAGACAGTTCTGGTGAAGCCAATTCATTTTTCTTCTTCATTTATTTTGAAAGACATCTGCTAAGCATGCACCAGGCACGAGGCCCCATGCTAGGTTCAGGGAATACCAAGATAATTATAACAACTTGTAGACTTAAGTTTAGTGGGAAAAGTCAAGAAATCAACCAACAGTCACAGCCACACTGCAGAAAGGGGTCTCTGCTTGTCTTTATGGAGGCTTTGCTTTCTTTCCCCTCGAACCAGACCCAGAATGCCTATTTACAAGAGTCAGGAGCCACAACTTGTCTACTGACAGCACTGAGCAGAGTGCCTCTTTCTTTCTTCCCCTCTCCTTCTTCACAATCCCTGTCCTCTAGACTTGTGTGTCTTCTCTTATTTTCCCTTGTAATCCTCTGCTTTTTACCTAGACGCCTGCAGACCTTTCTAGGGTTCCTCCCAAGCATGTTCTCCCTAAGCCTATGTCTGTAGACACACAAAATTAAGTTAAAAAATGAAAGGGGGTAGGAAATTGACTCAGATCTCCTCACGCTCAGAACAGGTTATTTTATGGCCTCACGCCACTTACATTATCTGTCTCTTTGTGGCCTGAATAGTGAACTGAACATCCCAAGATATTCCCTTATTCAAATATGATTTTGACTGGGGATGCTAATACCAGGACTGTTTTAGGGGAGAAAGAGATCAGAGTGGGTATCAGAGGCGAGGAAGACCAACTCCAAGAACAGAGCAGGCTCTTTCTTGCTCTCAGCCCCACAAATGCTACCTGTGCATTAGATCTCCCTTAACAAAATCCAGACGGTTCTACTGGGAGAAGCACAGAAGCCACCAGGAAACGCTTTGTGTTGGGCAATGAGAGAGGGGACTCGGGAACATGATGGTGAGAAAGACAGACAGTCCTGCTAATACTACTTGATAGTTACAAGCCTGTGAAGAGCGCGTCTGTAAGAGAAGGCCTTTATCACAGGTTTCTTGCTCTTCTAACCCCATCACTACCCCACCTCTCCCAAAGAGGACGTAAAGTATTATCACTTGCAGAATCCAGTTACTTCTGATCAGTTAGTGATGCTGTTTCGTGGAGGCCATAAAGCAGACGGTCCTGCCTTCTTTCTGTAGCATCACCAGTCCCAGCACAGGTTCTTTGCCTTCTTTCATTTGAAACACTTATCTTCCTAGAAGTCAATCCCCCAAACATTTTTTTCTTTTTTCTACTTATACTTTGTGCAAAGTACTTGGATGGTTATTTTTGAGGCTACACAGATGCTGGAGATACACTCAGTGTCTTTCAGGAACTTACAGTCTGTGAAGGAGACACATCTAAATATAGTAAAATAAATACAGAAACAAGAGATTTTGCACTAGCTTTTCTCTTGGCTGTTTTAGAAGTGATACGGTGCTTTAAAAACATGCCTCCTACATCTGGTGCTTTTTCCTCCTCATTGAGCTCCAGGCCATGTTGATCCTTTAAGGGAAGCAGTTTTGCACAGGCTGGAAGACAAGGATAGACGTTGACACCTTCAATGCAAGATTTCAGCCAGCAGGAAACACACTTGGGTCAGAAACAGGTCTGGGTCCAGGCCAGATCAGTGGGCCAACAGAGACACACACCATCTAGGTCACAGCTGCAGAGACAATACTTCCTTCTCCAGGATCCTCTTGCCTTTTCTTCAAAAGCATAAAATCAAGAGCATACCAAAAGTCATGGCTCTCTCATCCTTTTAAGAATTTTGTCACTGGGTTAGTTGTTGTTGGGTAAAAGTTCTAGGGAAAAAGTCAGCAAGGAGTGGGGGTTAGGGGGAACACAGAGTAGACAGCAGATTTGGAGACCGCACTTTTGGGCACATAGTTGTGGCATTTGATACATTTTTTCTTTAACCAGATGATAAAAAAGGAAACTTTGGGGTAAATTCTCCATCTCTCAATCAAGTCTATCAAGGATTTCAGTATAGGTAAAATGGATAACAGAAGCCTCTGTATAACTGAGTTTGAAACATGGGCCCCAAAATATCCTTCTCCTTTGAACGAGGAACTTAGTCCGTTTTAATTGAGTGTATTCAGGAAAAGCTAAAGAGAACGAATGTTCCACTTGCACCTCAAAGATGAGTAGTTCACAAGGTGCACAGAGTGAGGGTGGGTTGGGGAGAAGAGGGAGACATTGCAGAGAAAAGAGATGGTGGTGTGGGAGATCTGAGATGGTGGGACCAAGGGCACAGCAGCAGGGAGAGTGGAAAGCATAGGATGGTGGCCAAGTTGAGAGTCTGCATACTTCACATTAATGAACAGTGGAGGCAGGAAAGGCCCTCCCGTGCATAGGAACAGCTGAGGGTCCCCACCATTTCTTCTAACCACTGAGGCCAATGTTTCTGGAATAGGAAGCTACACAGGGAGACCATGGGAGAAGCTGTCATACATGGAAACTTATTAGAAGACACACTTGGAGGTTTGGCAGAAGACGCACTCGGGTGAGCTGGTGGCAACTCTGATGGCTGCTGTTTCCCCTCCCTTGGGTGGTTCGGTCTCCAAGCCCCCCCTCCCCAGCACCAGACTAGAGTTTCTGAAGAGACTTGCCCTAGGAGCCATTTTTCTTTTATTAAATATCACTTGGACAGCATACAAACAGCACAAGTAGGAACTACAAACCCACACACAGAATAAATTATGACATTTGTATTTAAAATTAGACGATAGAAGAAGTTGTGTTATCAGGACACCCGATCCACTGTTGAGATTCATGAGGCCTTGGCAGCCCCTGAGACTGTAGGAAATCTTCTCTGAGACATCTGGAGCCCATTGCCCCACCAAGCAAATCGAATGAGGCCAAACTCCCGTACACAAACATGTACACACACAGACACAAGCACAGACACACACACAGGGAATGGGGGCAGGGGGTGGCCTGTCATCAACAACCAGCTCAGCACAAGCGAAGTGGACCCAGCTGTGCTTTCTCTGCAGTTCTGGCGGCAGACAAACTCGTGGCACTCACCCTTCCCCAGCTCCCTGTCTCTTGGGAGTGTGGGTGTGCCCCCGAGGCAGCACAGGGCTGCTTCCTGAGTGCAGGAACCCAGTTTTGCAATGCTGGCCTGTGGGGTGAGCACAGCTCGGCTTTCCTTGCTTGCGCTTGCTTTACGGCCTGGCCTGCTGAGCTGTGCCTGCCACTCCCAGAAGAGAGACGGAAGAGATGTGTCCTCAGGGAAACCTACCAAGAGATCCAAGTTTGATAAGCCAGGCACTGGGCTAGGATGAAGGTAAATGTTCAAAACCTGTTTTATTTTTCCTGTCACCTTCTTCCCTTCTTCTTGCTTTTTATTCTCCCATTTTCTACACACAGGTTTATGTATCTATTGGAGAGACTGTAACCCCAATAGCACCAAAATCAGCTCTGGAACAACGATGCTTTATTTTTCCTGTCGCATTCTTCCCCTCTTCTTGCTTTTCATTCTCCCATTTTCTACATCCAGGTTTATGTATCTATTGGAGAGAATGTAACCCCAATAACACCAAAAGCACCTCTGGAACAATGATGCTTTACCCCCAAAGAGACTGCCAGTCTGTCTTCCCAGCAGAACTGTACCAGTGGCAGGGGCAACGAGATGGACCATAGGACCCAAAGGCAGTCTAGGTCTCAGAGGCCATGTAAGCCCGGAAGAAAGACCTGGGTGCCTTAGCTGCACATACACCTCACTCTGAGGGATGTGGTGAGGGGCCACAAAAGTGGAAAGACTTGAAATCGAACAGTGGTGTTGAGGTGGCTCAGAGCTGAGTCTAACCAGAAGGTGGAACTGAGGGCTAGTTCTGTTCACAATCTTTAGCAGAAACCAACTGCTAAAGAAACCACCTGGTGGCTGTCAGGAGTGGGACATCAAGGAAGAAGGAGATTTTGGTGGACAGGTCTGTCCACCAAAAGGATAGTTCTGAGTCACAATCCAACAATTCTGGTTCTGCAGAAACTGTCCATTCATCCCTCCATCTGTCTATCCATCCGGTCATCCCCCTGGTATTAATTCTGTAGAGCACAGGCCGACCAGGACATGGGCCTCTAAGCTGCATTAGCACCTTTTATCCAGAGTATGTTTTGTGGTCATTGAGTTGAGTCTTTTACAGAACTGCTGTGAGGTAGTAACAAGACAGGTAACACTTCCTTTTTATAGATCAAGAGGTGCAAAAGTGAGCATAGCTGCAACTTGGTAAGGGTCGGGTTTGTTCCCTGGGGACCTGGTACAATTTGTCCTGGATGTTGCTCATACCAGCGTAGGTTTCAAGTCGTCTTTGAAGTTCACAACAGGCTTGGAGCGGGCCCACAGTTTCTCCCAGGATGCCAGTCCCCCAGCAGATTCAGGGTCAGTGTCTGACGAGCCACTGTCACTGGAATCAGAGGAGCTCTGGAAGCAGATTTCACAGTAGGGCCGGTGGCAGTGGCAGAAGAACTCATCTGAGCTGCTGGACTCAGTGTCCAGGTAGCTGCGTGGAGAAGGAAGGGAGGGATAGCAGCTGGACCCCAGTGGCTGCCGCCACTGCTGCTCAGACAAGTCTGGTGAGGTTCTGGACAGGCGTGGGGAAGTGGGACATTGGGTCTGGTCAGAACCGGCAGGCAGGTGAGGACAGCCTGCATGGCTCCCTCCGGCCCCTTGAGTTTTTGCCTGGCCCTGTTGGCCGCTCTCCAGGGTGGCTGGCCTGCCTTGAGGATCTGTGAGGAGTGAAAGCTTCCTGGGAGAGGGTCTTGGTATCCTGGAATCAGGAGCTTGGGGGTTTGGGCTACAGCTGTCCTTGTTCTGCACATTTAGCCTGCTCTGTGCCCCGGAGGCAGCCCTGTTCACCTGGTGCCTCACATAGGAGGGTGCAGAGCCCGGAAAGTGTGAGTGAGCCCGCTGTGCTGCCCGCCTTCTCCTCACCATGTAGGGGCTGAAGCCCAGTTTCTTGGAGGGGGGCATCTTCTGGGTACTGAGCGCAGCGCTGCTCTTCCAGGACTGCTGGGGACAAAGGGGAGAGGAAGGAAGGGAAGCCTCAGGGCCCAGGTCCAGATCTTGAAGGACCTCCTGGAGCTTCCTTCTAATCACTGAGTTGACCCTGGATAGCCGCTTTGGGGGTTGCTCTGAGTGCTCTAGTTGTCTCTGGCTCTGGGGAACAGCATCTTCTTCACCTGGTTTGAGAGTGTTGCAGGGGACCGTGGGTTCCTGGTCTCTTCTTTGTGCCTCCAGGCTTTGCTCAGCCTGTGGCATCTGGCTGCAGCCCAAATTCAAATGATCAGAAAGGTCTCTTAAGTTAGACATCTCCTTCTGTCCTGGGGAGGGGCCACTGTCCTGCCCTGAGCCCTTGAGGTTTTGCATACTTAAGAAGGTACTCTGGGAGTTCTGGGCAGCCGCGCTGGTAAGTTTCTGAGTGTCAGAGAGGCATTCAGAAGGCCCTTGAGCTTCCAGGTTGTGCGCAGAGGCTGAGACCTGGACATCGTTGCTATGAGAAGAGGCAGAAGTCCACTCGGGGCGCTCGTAGGTACACTCAGCTGACATCAGCCTCACTAACTTCTCTTTGGCGTTGTTTACTTGTTCCTGTAGGTTTTCAATCACAGCATTTTTCTGTAAATAAAAGCAAAAACATCAACAAAAGATAGGCCAAAGTTTTTCATGGAAAAGAAAGTGTAGTATGAAAAGACCTTGGTTTAAATTCTAGTTCTTCCATAGACCAGATGGTGATGTAGGCACTGGGAAGATTCCTAAAATGAGCTGGTGCAGGTAAAGTGCTCAGCATAATCATCGACATACTCAATTAAGATTAACCATGATTTACTGTTTTGTGATCTTCATCCCCCGAGTCTCCAGGCTGTGACACTGTGAGAAGAGAGGTCAGAGGTGGACTCAAGGTCTTTTGCAGGACACAAGCCTGAATAGTGCTGGGATCACCCAACTCTGGGTTTATCAGACTTCTATAAAATGCAAGTGAACTTGAAGCACATTTCAAGGGGTGAGCAAAAGGGGAAACAAGTATATTGTCTCCTGTTAAACAGACGAGAGAGGACAGGAAGAACAGGGGAGAGGATAGCAGTTCCTGTGCCAGAGGGACACGACTGGAGGCAGCAGGGACCAATGAGAATCTCAGGCTGGAGCTGTCACCTCCCTCGCTGGACCCCAGAGTAGGAGCTCAAGGCTACCACGTGGCATTATCCTGCTGATATGCCCCACAGGAGAGCAGGCATTGGAAGGATTGTTGGGCCTGGGATGCTTGATCCCGAGATCCAGAATGGGAGCCAGAAGATGAGTTAGGCTGGGGCAACTCTCCCCATGAGCTGCCTACCTGCTACTTGGCTGTTAGTTGATAAACAGGCTGTGCCCGGGGGCGAGGGCACTGGAGGTGAATGCTGCAGAGGCGTGTCAGTTCTAGTTGCAAGATTCCTGCGCAGAGCAGGAGGCAGAGATTGGCAGTGGTGGGCCGTGAGCACTTTCTGGTGGTGCAGGCGGTGACTCCAGCTCAGACCTCACGCCATCCTGAAATTTCTGATACTCAAAGGCAGTGAGTGGGGCAGGGAAGAGATCATCAAGGGGCCTGATGGTCTGGGGCAAACAGGGTTAAGTAAGGCTTGGGAAAAGCGAAAACACAGCACTGTGTTCTAAGAAGTGCTTGTCTACTTGGCAAAATGCTGCCTCTGTGTTGCCATCCTCTTCGGAAGCCGAGGGTGAGCATTTGGGGATCTGTTCATTATGCCTTAGAGTTAAATGGAGGTTTCTCTTTAGGATACTGAGTAAGTCCCCCATGGACTGAACATAGGGTTTCTTCTCAAGCTGCTATAGGAAACTTGCCCATAAGGGACCCTTTAGGGGAGCAGTAACATTAATGAACTGATAATCCAGCAACTGTCCTTGGGCAGCCACGTTACTATAGAACTACTACTCTCTCTAAGCAGGAAGGTGATTTTTGTGATTATTGGTACTTCCAATAACCAGTTTCACACAGGTTTGGTCTTTTATCAGCAGGGGAGGGCCCAGGAGCAGTGAGTAATTGGTGAGTAAGCGGAAAGGGACTTGCCACTGAGAGCTGCCTGTCTGCTCTCCGTTTTCCTCACTCTCCAGTGCCAGGTCTGGGTGGAGCCAGGGAAGTGTGGCTGACTCAAAGACTCAGCAGGAGTGGAGTACATGAGTAGGGAGCGAGTCATTCAGGGTTTTCATGCCTGGTGGCAGAGCCCTTTGAGCAGCTCAGAAGGTGACTGGAGGGACCCCAATCCTCTACCTCCTCTGGCTCTGGAAGGCTTCACAGAGTTAGAAGGAAGCCACCAACTGTTGACAACTACCCCAGCCCAGAGAACTTTGAACGCTGCTTTTTGTGTGACTCGTCCACACACCCCTGGGAGTGTAGGCAAGCCGGATAAACACTGCGTTGGGAGAATACCCTTCTCCTGCAAATCCAACATCTGAAACCAGCTTGTGATAGATTCTGAAATGTCATCTTAAATAGTCAACTTTCCTATCTTTCAGGAAAGGAAGTGGGATTCTGTTTGCACCATGATGCACACTAATTGGAGGCGGAATGTGGGACCCAAATCCGACCCTCCACAGCAGCTACATTTAAAGATGCTTAGTAATGATTACATTTGGCACATCCAAGGAAGCAAACCGTGCATCCGTGGGCACGCTTCCTAAGATGCAGCCATAGGAGAAATGGAAGCACCCTCTTATGTCTAAAGGAAAAGTAAGAGAAGTTAATAAGTGAGTTTCCTCGGCTGCAGAGCACAGAGAGGGGCGTTCCTCCACCTCTGGGAAGGTTCTAGAGCAGCATGGGAAGTTAGTGACAGATTCTGCTCCTAACAGCTTCCCTGGGACCCTAGAGGCAAGGGAGGAAAGAATAGCAGGCTGCCCAGATGATGGGAAAGTAAGAGGAGGGCACTAGGGCAGCAAGGGGTTTTCAGAGGAGGGAACCTCACCCGAGAAGCTGTAGTGAAGTCTATGAACAAACTGAGCTGGGAGGTGCCAAGTAGGGGATTCAGCGACTGGATTCCCAGGGCCCTGGGACAGGCTGCTGCTTCTCGGAGCCTCTCTTGGGAGAGAGGTTCCAGGTGTAGGTGTTGGGGGAGACCAGCATTTTCCTGCCTAGGCATCTGGAGCCTATTAGGGCCCTTCTCTACAGACTCCAGGCATCGCTTTGGAAAGAACAGACTCAGTCACTGCGTGGGAAACAGCGTAGCATGGCAGAAGCACAAACAGCACGTCACCAATTACCATAAGGTTAGAGTGAGTCTACTTGGCAGTTCCAACATTAGCTGACTGTGAATGAAAACCATCCTAGCTGTTCTTGCCAAGTTTCTGGCTTTCTGTTTTGCCAAAAAGTGTTTCTTTGGGGACTTCACAGAGTATCAAAGGCAATGCTATGCCCTTGTCAGGTGGCTCTAAATGCTTCGTAAATAGTAAAGAAATGGAGATGTGCTACTCTGATGGATAAATGAAAGGCTGAGAACTGAGGGCAACATGAGGGGGACTAGCAGGCTCTGGGGAAGCTTAATCCCTTCACTGGGCAAGTTCTTTAGGTCCCATCGCACCACCCTCTCACACAGGGGCTATTGACACCCATGTGTCAATCCCACACAAAAATCATAGTTTCCCAAATAGCACCTATCCAGGCATGTTCTGTATTGAAAGATATAAGGGCTATAGTTTAGCTAGTGAAAATCCTGACTAATTCCTCTGGGCCCTGTGCCTCCTCAATGAAGCCTTAAGCTTCTCCATGTGCTGCCATCAAGCCCACATCACAAGCCAGCTCCAGGAGAGGTGCCAACTCTGGCTCCCTTTGGTACCACTATGAGATCTGGCAACCCTATTCAGTCCCCTCTCATCTCTAGGCACCTCCTGGTTTTCTGGGTTGTTGGGATGATTGAGATTTCTAGTTAAAACTTGGAAAAGCCAGGTGGCTCCTAATATTTCAGAAATGAGGGCACGACTGTTTAAAGACAGGGCATAACTCGCAGAAGAAGCTGGCACCCATTCCTACCGAGGATTTTTATACTGCTATTTCACCTACTGGGAATGATTTTCCTTTTTCTTTTTTGCCTGACCAATTTGTATTTAACATCTTAGCTCGGTCTTTTGACTGCTCTAATTACGTTGCCTTGCCTTCACCACCCATTTTTCTGCCTCAACATCCTGATTTTTGCTTCCTAATTCTTATCACAATTAATAATTGTATGTTTACTTCACCAATATCTATTTCTTATATTATACTGAGCTCCAAGAAGGTAGGGATTATATTTGTTTTGTTCATCAGCATTTAACACACTACTGGCACACACTTGTTCAAATGAGTGAGTGAAGTGGGTGAAGGTCAGCAATGGGAGGGTCATTGGGAAGTGCTGAGGTCTTGCTTATAGCTGAGGTTTTGCTTGCTGCGGCCAGAGAGCAGGGGAATGAGAGGAGAAGGAATGCTAGCAATGAGAGCATCTGGGGCCCACCGATGCATGGCTGGAGTTCTTTTTAGAGAATGCAGCAGGCAGGGGGGCAGCTTACTTCTGTAAGGAGCCTTTCCATGGAGTTCTTCTCTACTCCAGCATGGCAATTCTGTTCCTCACCATACTGGGTATGGAAGCTTTTGCTGGGAGTGCTGAAATACTTGGCCATGCATCTGATTGTTTGGTTTTCCTCTTCAAATGCCTTCCATTGCTTCAGCTGTTAGATAAAAGAACACGTGTTATCTATTTAATTACACACCCAGAAACACATTCTCTTACACTTACTCGCTTTCTCAAAAACACCCAGAAGTGACAATGTCACAGAAACAACATATGCACTTACTAGTCTCTCATCAAAATGTAGTTTTTTTTTCTGGACAATTCTTAGAGAGCAATGATGGAAGGTAGAGACAATGTTAAGATTATAGTTTTTAAAATGTTGAACAAAGAAAATGACAGGTAGGTGAAATAGAACAATCTTGGCTTAACCCACCCACTGGTGCACTGGTTCAAGAAACTGGAGTTAAAGTATACTTTGAGGGTCATATTTTCAGCCAGGGTTTAGGGGCATAAAAGAATTAAGCAAGTCAGATGAAACTGTTTTAGCTGCATGTAGCAATTCTTAATTATTGCTACATTATTCTCATTTTGAATAATGGTATGCTTACTGCTGTTGAAAGGGTTCCTTGCTGGAGGACCCAAACCCAAATCAACAACCAAAGTTCAGACAGACAGAAAACCACAGAAGTCAATAAAAATCAATAGAATGATAGAACACTATGTCTGAGACCTGACCATCTTTACTCCTTGACAAATGAGGAAAGACTCAAAAGAAGTGTGACTTATCTAAGCCCACTCTTTCCAAAGAGTCACAGTTATCACCAGGATGCTGGCTCACATATGCCATGAAGAGACTATTAACTGGGGGCGAGAGGCGCCCCCTAGGGGCAGTTTTCCAGCTCTCTTTTAAAAAATAATTTTAAAAACATCCTTGCTTATTTTTTCACAGTACAGATTTTCTCCCTCGCCACTCCCCAGATGTGTTCAGCAAAGCTTTCCTGTGATTCTGTGGCATCACGAGCTGGTTTAGTGTAACAGGATGGAAGTAAAATAGGACATTCACACAAGGCATCCTCCTGAGGCTTTGGGGTGCCATAGCCACGCTTTTCCCCTTAGGAGCTCTCATAACTAAGAGTCCTAGCGCTGCAGTCTGGGTCCTCTGGCCTCTTAGCTGTAGAAAGGATGCTGAAGAAGCCTCATGGGCTCCTGGGGTTTTTGTGCTCACTCATTAAGCATTCCTTAAGCTCTGCCTATTGCGTACAAATCTCAGGATTCTAAATACTCTCATCCATTTCAGTGTCACATTCTCTCCCTAGTCCTCTTGGCTTCTCTGTTGACTCAGTGTGAATCTTTCATGGTTCTTCTGTATCTACTGGAACTTCTGCTGGGTGAGGCCAGGAACTCCCTCTCTCAGATGCCCTTCTTGAGGATCTCCTCCCTAGGCTGCTGTCAGTTCACTGCCTCTGTCAGGAACTGCTCACTGAAGCCCAGCACCAGTGCTCTGTAGGGTCTCGCTAGGCTTAAGTGGTCCTCCAGTGTTGTCATCCTAGCACTGACTCTGCATGTCCTTTCTGCACAGCTGCTGGAAGAATTGCTCACACTGGTATAAGCATCCTAGCAGGGCCTTTGTTCTGTCTCACTTAAAACTGGTGGGGTGAAGCCAGGGTGTCCCTTGTCAAAGTCCCCTCTCTCCCTTAATGCTCCATTTGTGTTCAGATGCTGGTCCTTCAGACCTGACTCTTTGGGTTTTCTGGAACATGGCTATAAATGATGCTCAGGTCACAATTTCTGGCTTCTCTGTGGTGCTTCCTCCAGAAGGACAAAATATTCTTGTTTCTAAGCCTGCTCCAGGTGAGTGTGGCAGGTTGAAGAATGGTTGCCCCCAAGTAGCCCACTCCTAATTCCTGGAACTTGTGAATATTATTTTATGTGGCAAAGGGGATTCTATAAACGTGACGTAAGGATTTTAAGGTGGGTAGATTGGGGGTGTTCCAGGTGGGTCCAGTGTAGTACTAAAAGTCCTTTCAGGAGGAAGGCAGGAGGGTCAGAGTCAGAAAAAGAGATGTAATCATAGAAAGAGAGAAATCCAAGGTGCCGCAATGCTATCTCTAAAGATGGAGGAACAAGTTGGTAGTTCAAGAATGGAATTGGCTTCAGGAAGCTGGGAAAGACTTGGAAGTGGATTCTTGTCTAGATCCCTGAAAGGAATGCAGACCTACTAATCTCCTGATTTTAGCCAAATAAAACTCATGTCAGGGTTCTGACCTCCAGAACTAGATGATAACTAGTATGGTTTTGAGTCACTCACTGGTGGCAACTTGTTACAGTTGCAATGGAAAACTAATATGGTGGGATTAAGTTTCAAGTCTTTAACAGGTATATGGGGATCTTCTGAAATTCACTCATGTGTCCCTCTTTCCTCCTGCTTCCTCTCCTTTTGTTTCAATTTGTGTTTTGAAACTTGCCAAGACCTGTGATGCTCTGAACATACCCTGTTCTCTTTCATGTCTCTGTGCCTCTTGTCATGGATTCCCCTACCTGCTCATTGGACTTGCTACTCCTCTTTAAGATTGGCCCCAAACGCCCCATTTTCTGAGGTGGTGTCACCAAGTCACAAGACAGATTGCAGCAATGTTTGACAGGACTTCCTCAAACACTTAACATGTGTTGTAACTCTTTACTTGTCTGCTCCCAACTTGACCAAGAGGTGGCCATGTGTTTAACTGCATGTTCCCACTGATTCATAGATGGGTGAGTGGGTGCATGAACAAATGAAGGAAGCTTCCCTTTAAAAAGTTCCTCTATCTATTCAGGGTTCTGGGACATAGAACTATATGAAAGAGTGGAAAGCCTCCTGTACCTTCAGGGAGGAAGGAACAGATGAAACACTGGGAGTTAGGGAATGTTCCTGAAGATCCACCTGTTTCTCAGAGGTGGACATAGGGAATATGTAGGAATGGGTCACATTCAGGTCACAGAAGAGACTGGCTCATTGCTGGGGTTGACCTTGAGTTTGGCATAAATACGTAGGTATTTTTTGAGGACCTGTGAAGAATGCTACTTGGTCCACCAGTCTCTTTAGTATGTCACCTCTTTCAACCAGTTCTCTAGCGCCGCCTAGCTGTCCTTGAGGTATCTGTGCCTCTGCTTTCACAAACCCCTCAGATCTGTATCCTTTATGAAAGCTCAGTGGCAAGAAGGAAGCCCACCTCCCTACCGCCTCATATACCCTTTTCCAAGTTTACTCAGCTGTCCTCCTCTGCTAGGAATACAGGCACACTCACAAAGAGTCTTTAGCAGAGGCTGCTACTGAATTGGAGGGAAACCAACTCAGGGGCACACAAAAAACTGACAAACCTTAGTTACTTTTATATTTTGAGAAAGAATATTCCTTCTAAAACTAAAATACACTGACTATAAAATATCTTTTTTATTTTTATATCATGATAAATTCAGGGGCTGGAAATTCATGGTAAATAAAATAGAAAAGGAAAGATATAGTAAGAGAAAGTGAGTTCAAGACAACTAGGAGGAAAAGAGGAAGTAAGATAGGGAGAAAGAAAGAGAAGGGCCAACACTGTCCATGCTCAGTTCCAACTTCCTGTAGTAACCCATTCCTGCTCCCACTTCAACAGAACTTGCTCCTTGTTGACTTCAAATCTGGATGTCATATTTTAAGCTAAACTTCATTCTGCATTTTTATATCGATAGATAGATATATAGCTAGGAATCACTACTATGCTGCTGAGGAGTCAAACTCCATGGGATGGGGAGTGGAAGTTTTGATTCTGAGGCTTAAGACCTGAAAAGGACAGAATCAAGTACGGAGAGTGGAGTCACATCATGGCGGTTGCTGGTTCACTCAGCCCTCAGATAGATGAAGGCCTTGATTTAGATTAGTAAGGCTCTCCTAGGCAAGTTCTTTGATGATTACTTCTGCCCCAAATTATTTTATTTTTCTATTAGCTCTAAATTGCACAGCTTGATATGTCCTCCATATTTTCTTAGGTAGGCTCTCATTTTTTGTCTTCTTGTTTTATGTTTCCTTAAATTAGTACAATATTTTGTCATGTCTGATTGCTTATTCACTGTTTCCATTGAAGTTTTAAATTTAACAAATATTTTCATCTTTATTCAATATTTCATGATCTAAGAGTATGTTCTTTTCATGATGATTTCTTCTGAAGCCTACTGATGAGACAAATCAGAGGTCTTTTAAAAATTTCTATTTTGTATCAGTGAAAAGTATCTTCTCCAAATCTTAAGAAATTTGTGGTTCTTGTCCTAGGAACTACAGAATTTTTTCATATTTCTCCCTGAATTTATAGTCTTACATGAGAAGAGATATAGTTTCATATTGTATGGTATATATAGTGTAATAAATACATTCTCTTAGTCACAAGAGGCCATAGCTCCAGGTATGACAGTCAAGGTAAGAAGAAGGTAGAAAAGGCAATGCTGGTCACACAGCTTTTTAAGAAAGTAAAATCTTTGTCATAAGCCTTCCAGAGAACCTTTTATGTTCAAAACTTTGTCACATGGGTATCACTAGTTATAAGGGAGGTTGACAAAAAAGTGTTTAATTCTTTTAGCCTATAGTGAGATAAGTCGGGAAGGATGGGTTACCAATCAACAAGGATGGGTTACCAATCAACAATGTTGGTCACAGGGCCGAAGGAGTGGGCATCCCAAAAGGCCACCCCCACTCTCCACTCCTTTTCTCCCATCTCCCGGGGAGGAAGAGCATTTGTATTTTTACATTTTTACATTCTGCATCCAGAAAATGAGCCCAAGCTCTTAATGGCTTCCTTCAACCCTGTCTTAGAACATTAAGATTCAGAACAAATTCTTCTATTTTCTACCACAGATGTGATACCCATTCTTAGTGTTTGTGCTGCTGCTACAGATTTTTCCATATTTGCTTATTCTGTTGAGTATTTTAATGAGAATTTGAGAAAAGGAAGATGAGTAAAGGGACTTGCCTGCATCTCACCACCCTCTCAGATTGCATGCAAGACACTACAACCCCAATGAGCTCCCTTGTGAAGAGCTCATTCATAGTCAACTGAAAACTACAATGGGAATCAGGATGGGGTCTTGAGAGAGTAGTGGGGTGAGGGAGGCTTCACAGGCAAGAAAAAGGGAATGAAAAAGGAAATAGAAAGTGTCTAATGCCAAGTTCAATAACCTGAACGTACGTGGCTCAGTGGTAACCCCTGGGCATAACGTGAAAAATTTAACATCACTTTTCTTTCAGAGCCTATGCATTCCTTTGCCTTCCCTCTGACTTCCCTTTACTAGCTGGATATTTCTGTGTCTGTTGCCCTCCCACATTTGCTTTCTCTTAATTCCCATAATATGAACACATTTTTATTTAATTTTAATTTCTTCTTGTAACAAGAAGAGGAATGTTCTATATATTCCTCTGATGATAAGAACGGAAAAAACATTTGAGTTACATAAAGTTCCAAATGAGTTATTCCCCAGTGAACATGTAATCCCAAATAGGGTGTCTTACTCCCAGGATAGTGAGAGAAATGACATTGTCAGGAAGGCTGGGGGGAGAGAGGGGTGGAAGATGGCATGAATGAATCCAACTGGAAGCTGGATGAACAGGCAGTTAGGCAAGGCAGCTCAGCAGGGCTAGACATGGGCTGCTTTCCTGGCTGCTTGGGAGCAGGGTAGAGTTGTGCTTACCCAGGAGAGCAAAGAGAGAACAGTCAGTTCACTAAGAACCACAAGTTCCTCTGACTCTCCAATAAGTAGTACCCAAAAGTCTCAGTGGAAAATAGTTAGCAACTTATCAAACCTGATGAAGACTCGTAGGACAGAGGACTGGCCTTGCTAAATTTGCCCTGGAGCTTACCTGGGGGATGAAGATGAAACAATTGACTGTGGTTGTGCAAACAAAGATACCTCCAGATGTGAGTGCAAAAACCAGGTTGGGCCAGGAGTGCAAGTATCTGGTGACCACAAAAAGAAGCCCTGCAGCCAGCACCACAAGGTTGACCCCAACCATGGTGGTTAGAGATTGATTCACAGGAGGAGAGCTAACGTGGTCAGTCAGGCCCGCCAGGTAGGCACCGTACAGCAGCAGCAGGCCCTGGAGGGGGAGAGGAGAACCAGAGACTCAGAGAAGTGGCATTATAGGCTTGTTATGCCTCGAAGAGTAGCAGAGCTGGGACCAATTTCCTCATCTGTAAAATAAGGGTAGTGATACTGACATTAAAAGGGTGCCACGAGGATTGACTAGGAGAGTTCATGGGAAGATGTTTAAGGTGGCCCCTAATGCCTGGTAACTGCTTAATAAAACTGCTTTCTTCTCCTTTATTGAGAACTAGTTTATAGGAGTTCTGCAACTTAGCTACTGGCTTGTCTGCCAGGACAAGCACAGGACAGCTGGTATGGAAGGGTAGAGTCCTATGGAAAAGCTTGTGGGCACAAAGTGAGCTGGTGGTAAGGGCTACCACATCCACTGTGCGGTTTCACACGGCATGAAACTGAGGGGCATGTGGAAGCCGCAACAGCTCTGTGGTCTCTTGTCATGCCAGGTGCCATGTCAGGGCAGTGCCCTGAGGAAGGGGCTCTTTTTTCTAATTTTCCCAAAGGCACCATCTGCTTTCCAAGCCCTGCACCTGCAAGATTGCATCTGCCTAGAAGGGATGCCTTTTTCTAATTACACAAAGGATCTCTATAGGCTAGCAGCGGCTCTGTGCCAGTGGGTGTTTATGGGAAATGGAAAAAGAAGAGAACAAAGGCAGGCTGGGACCTAGGCAAGACTGTGGGGGCAGGCGCGGGCAGCACAGGCTCCATCTATCCCCTTCACCCACTTTGTGACATTCCCTGCCCCCCCCCCCACTAGGAACCCAGGCCCCTATTCTTTCTTCTTTCCCGTGAATATAAAATTACTACCAGGGATCTCGTTTGTAATATGCAGAAATGACTCACAGCATCTTAAAGTGCTGTGTCTCCTAAAAGGAGCTGCATTTAAACAGATCTTCAATGATTAGAAGACATACAAGTCAGGAGACGAGCAGGGCCTGATTCTTGGGTAATTTTGGGTATGTGCTGAAGTTGAATTAGGCAAATGAAATGGATTCTGTGATTTTTGAAATGTTCAAATATGATTCCACTAAATGTGTTAATCTCATTAAAATTCTTGTAAAAGGTGACTCGGCATGAATAAAGCCTCTGTATATTCTTGACTTGCGTTTGAGTGAGCTCTACCTGATACCTGCACATGCTTCACTTTTGTAGCTTAGAAGTGTGGGATCTGAGGCAGTTAACAGGTTCAGGTTTGGGGTCCTGCAGATTTGGATCATTCTGCTCATTGGCTAGTGAGGCCATACAGGTCTAGATTAGTCAGTTTCCTCTTGCTCAGCACTCTTTCCCCCTTTTATTTTCTTTCTTACTGTCTGAGAGAAAGATACTAGAGAAATGAAATGGGGCAAATAACTCAAGTTGAGTTATAAGGCAAGTTATTATGCGGGAAGTGCTAAGCTTCTGTTCTGGGAGTGAGAAATTATTTTTCTACAGGCGCTCAGGCAACGAAAGAGGCACTGTGTTTTTCAGAATTGTCTGGAGGCAGCAAGAGATTAATGACATCTACATTTTTAAACTCTTACAATGGTGAGGAGTAGCGGAAAACTCTTAATGTGCATTTACTCTCAGAACAGTTCTGAGATGCTGTTATCATCATCCCCAGTTTGCAGATGAGGGAAATGAGCTCAGAAAGGTTAAATGAGGTACAGGGTCAGCAAGGAAGCTGCTGAGTCAGAATTCAAGTGCTGTTTAGTCATATGATGCAGCTCATTTTCTTAAGCATTAGCAAGAAATTAGAACTCAAGAGCTGTTTGCTTCCTAGCATTTTCTCTTAAAAGTACTTCTATCAAAGAACACATGCACATAGTTAAAGAGCAACATTTCCCTGTCCTCAGTCTCTCATCCCCAAGCTTATCTCTCAGAAACACCGCTTGACCGCATTCCTAGCAGTGAAGGGAGTAGAGTCTACTGTTGAAGAATACTGAGTTTCATACCCACCCTTTCTCACCTGCAATCACCCTTTCTCTATCCTGCCAGTCAACAGGTGCCCCTGCCTATTGAAATAGGTCTGCTCTACACCCCTCAGAGCAAAATCTCTGTCATTCCCAATTGAAAACCAGCTTAGTAGGATAGCTGTCTCACCACCTCTAGTGCCCTGACTAGGTCAACACCTTCAAGACCTAATGTCTAGCTTTTGCTATCTAACAGGAACAATGGGTGTTGGGGATAGGAGACTCAGGGGAGTGCAGGAGCCACGTTGAGGCAGCTGGCACCACCTGAAGGGCACAAGGATGTGCCATCAGGCTTAGGGTCAGCCCTGTTTTCAACTCAAGTAAGGTTAGGTGGGTGGATGTGAGCAGGATACCTTGATCAAAATATTAAAGAAAGAGACAAGAGGAATAAGAAAAGCATCTAAGAGAACAAACAAAACAGACTAGAAAATGATAGAGTGGTAGGTGAATTCTCTACGATTTGGGGGAGGACTGCAAAACGTTGGCCCCCCAACAGAAAGTAAAAAGGAGAGAAATAACAGTAGCTGTGGCTTTGAGACTTCACATCAACAGAGGTCTCCTCTGATTTCAATATTCTTGTAGAAGTCATCTCATTCGTAACTATAATCCCCTTTTCATATTCGTTTGCTGGTGACAGACTGTATCCTAAGGAAGATATGGTCACCCACCTTGCATGCCAGAATGAGAGTAATCCAGACATCAGAGTACCGGGAAGCACAGAAGTGCGTGCTGGTCAGCGAGCAGAACACATCTCTCCTTGTCACCTGGGGGGACACAGAGCCAGGACTGAGGGCATCCACAATTATCAGGAATACACACTGGAGCTTTTTTGAGGAAATCCCTTAATACTATAAAATTTAAGTGATTCCATTAGAGTTGGAGGACAAGGTGAGATTATGAGTTGAAGGAAAAGATACAAACGGGCTGACAAATGCATACTTAGTGACAGAAGGGTTTACCCCTCCCTTATGTGCTTTGATGCCATAATGATTCAAATCAGTGCATCAACAAAATTGAAAATTTTTTCACGCTATGTACTTGCTATTTGTTAGTAGCAGAAACCTTAAATATTAAATCTAATCAAGATTCTGGTCTATTCTTCAGTCCTGTGAGGCAGGAGACATAGAATACTTCCTATTAATTAAACAATATGTATTGGGCATACTTGAGTCCTTTACCTGTATTGTTTCACATAACCTTCACCAGAGCCCTAAGAAATAGGTAGTATTATTACTTCATTTTACCTATGAGAAAATAGAGACTTAGGTTAAATGACTTTTCCAAAGAGCTGGGATTTGAACCAGAGTTGACTGACTCCAAAAATATCTCATAATATTACCTTTACTGCTCAACATTAGGGGAAGGCAACTTCCTGTAGCTGAAAGTTCTCATTAATGATAATGTAGGGGCAGACATAATGCTAGGTAGCTTCCAAGTGTACTGATATCTCAGAAGATGATGCTATGGGAAGACAGCAGGGCAGAAGAAGCAGTAGCAATGGTAGCCCCTGAAGACGAGGGCCCGGTGTTCACAACAGCCCTAGTTCCTAAGTCTTTCTCCTCTTTGGGGGATTTATCTTCTTAGTTGTAAGATGACCACACACAGTTGCTGCCTCTAGGAGAATTGAATGACCCCTGTCTGCCCATAGAAACCAGCTCCAGAATTAGGTTCTCCAGGGGTTGGGCCCCTCACCGTCATACTGACACCAAGCATCTGGAGGCACTGGATGGGGTCAGTCAGCACCCATGTCACGAGCAGGATCACATCAGCTATCACCAGGGTTGCCACCAGCCCAAGGAGCTGCAGGTCTTTGATTATCTGCAAAAAAAGTCAAGACCATCATTGCCCTTAACTAACTGGTTATATGGAACAAGGAGTAGAGTAACCCATGTGTTCTTAACTGGCCACTACAGGGTTAATCCTGGCAAGGAGTTTCCAACCCAGCCACCAATGTCAAAACAGAGACTACTTGTGTGCAGTGATTCCTATGTCCATATCAGCATCGCGACAAAATACTGTCATTTGTTATCTTTTCTTATCCTGTGTTTTCCCACAGAGGACATAGGGGTCTATAAAATAAAAACACCATTGTTTCTATGTGTGCTTATATAAGCACTTAGAAAGGTGTGGAAGTTTTCACATAAAACTGTTTAACAACCACTAATCTGGAGGGTGAAATTGAGACATAATAGTGGTGGAGAAGGTATTTTCGCTATACATCCAGGAACCATCTGACTTAATTGAAGGAGAGTGTAATGACAAAAATAAAATTAAGAAGATATATGGACTGTGAAAGAATGAAATATTGAAACTTATCAGTGAAAAGAGAAAATAAAGAGAATTATGACGTCTTGGGTAAGGAAAGTATGTAGCATTCATGAATGGGGTAGAAATGTGAATCTAAGTTTTTGTCAACTAATGAAAAGAAAGAAGCATAACCAATAACATGACATGTGGTGTTTTTGATATACAAATAAATCAGTTCCTTATTTAAACTGCTGAAAAAACAGTAAAAAGAGGAAAATATTTGAAGCAATCAGAAAAAAAAAAAAAAAAGGAACAAAGATAAGGAGGATATTGGGCACAAGACCAAGATTTTCCAGGAGAGGAAAATCTTCAAAATACTAAAATTAAAAAAAAAAGATAACATTTAATTTAGAATTCCATACCCAGTAAAGATACCTTTCAAAAAATCAAAGGCAAAATAAACTTTTAGATAAAGTTGAAAGAATTCAGCATCAGCACACACTGCATACAAAATATGTTGGTTATCCTTCAGACAAAAGGAAAATGATGTCCATTGAAAACATAGACCAGTACAAGGAAATTAAGAGTTCTGGAAATGCTAATTGCATAAAAAAAAAACCACTATTTTTGTTTTTTCAATATTTTTTAAAATAGCAAACAAAAAATAGCAATAGTGTAGAGTTTATAAAATATGTAAAAGTAAAAATGATTACACAAAAATTGGAAAGGGGAGAAGTATAATCATATTATTATAGATATTTATACTATGTAAGTTTCAATCATACATATACAAATTCTTATAGAAACTGAAGAAGGGATATATCCCAATTCATTATATAAAAACAGAATTACCCTGAGGTCAGCATGAGAACAAGATTTTACAAGAAAGAAAAACTATAGAACAACATCCCTTAAGAACATTATACACTTTAAATATGTGCAGTTTGTCTCGTGCCAATTATACCTCATATAACTATTTTTAGTAAAGGAATCAGTGTTCAAGAGAGATGCAGGAATTTATTGTCTTCTAAGCAATCTTTTTCATATGTATGTTTACTCACAGCTGAGCTTTTGATAAATATTCATTGAAGATACAATGATGTTTACTTTTAAAAATAATCTCATCATTTCAGAGATGTAAATTCCAACTGAATAACATATTGTTTCTGGGCAGGACTTCTAGACAACAAGTTTGATATCAGGATTTGAGATTTGGGCAGGTCCACTAAGAACCTGATAAAAAAGGGGAATGTAGCTAATATGACACCTGATATCAGGGGCATGTTGATAAACTCAATGCCCTGCAGCTTCTAGGGTTGATTCTATCTGCCAAAAAGGCCCATCCTTCTCACTGCAGAGAATGGCCTTCTAAGGGCAAAGAATCAGGCTCAAACGGGGGAATAATAATGCTGACTTACTACAGCTTTTCTGTTAGCACTGTCCCACCCTACACTTTCAGCTCTTTCTGGGCAAGGTCTCTCCACAACACTGCCAGATCCTGGCCAGCTGACATGTCCCCAGAGCAGTACCATGGCCTGGGGCACACAGGAAGACTAAGCTCTGTTCAAAGATTTACCAAGGTGGGGCACTCAAGAGGTCACACAACCGCACAACATTTGAAATAAGGAGTAGGAAATTCAGATGGTCGTAAGAGACCCATTTAGAGAAGCTTTTGATCAGCAATGAAGCTGCCATCTACCATCAAACAGTATGTGCTGCCTACTCACCACTCTTTTGTCCGGGACCCTCTGGGTGAACACCTTGTAGAGTCGCCAGCTCTTCCCCAGAATGGGGCCAAACACAAGGGAGGTTCCAATGCACAGCAAGGACAGTCTTATCTATGGGTGGGGAGGGACAGATGCAGGAGTCAGGAGAGGCACCTTTGTTCATTCTCCATTCTTTCTGTCTGCAAAGCCTTAGACCCCAGAGGGTAGGGGCCAGAAGGCAGACTACACTGACTAGGCCCTGGAGGGCTGGCTTCTGAGAGTGTCCCATCCAGGAGAAAGAAAGGTAATCAGCACTGACAGCAGCCAGCTGATGGGGAAAATTATCAAAGCTCTGGTGTTATACTCAAAACAAAATGTTAATCCTTCACCTACCTGGATGAGAGCTTCCATTGAATTTCCCACTAAAGCATCTTGATCTTGAATCCCAAAGAGGTAAGCACTGGTGTAAGTCAGACAACTGCCCAGTAAGGTCACAATATTCAGATTGGGACTGGACATCTTCACAATTCTAGAGGAATCAGGAAGAGAGACACTTAAAAGCACGGCCCCTTCACCAGGAGTGGGCATGGCTTCCCCACCATCGTACTCTCCAGCAGCCTGAGTCAAGGGCTCCTGGGAAGAAATCACTTCACAGGCCTGTTAACAGTGTTCACATTTATTGTTCAAAAAGAACTGGCACTTTCTGCTTGTAAATTCTAAGTCTTTTAAAAGAAGTCTGACTTTGTAAAAATAAGTGATATCAGAGAAGAGTTAGAAATTTTCCATGAAGTTTGTGATTGCTAAGAGATTGCTCAGTGCAACCTAGTGAGTAAATAACCAGCAGGTAGACACCTCAAGAGATACAGTTCAGAGCTTTTAGAAATGAGTTTTAAGGTAAACTATTATTGGGGAAAACATTTGGGGCTTTTTTCAAACCTATTTATTTGATATAGAAATTGTTTCCCTCTCTTTATTTGGCCAAAAGAGAAAAAGCAGGGATTGCAAGCCTGCATTTTGGGAAGGTTCTTTTCTTTAGTAGTTTTAAATTATGTTACAGATTACTTTGAAGATTAGAGAAGGTGTAGCTAGAGCTTCTGAGAAACAGTTGGCACCAAGACACTCAGGACAAAGTTGAATTATGTGCCTGGTTAGCACAGGGGAAAATCAAGCTTACAGTGGACAGTGTCTCATGATAATTTAGAAGTAAAGATAAATAGTAATTAAGAAGGAATGTAACTGTATTTAAGACTTTCAGTCTACGTAGTGTATTCTACACAAATGCAATATTTATACTAATAGTCATTTAATAATTACAGTTATACTTTTATTTTCAAATAATAACTAGGAGGAAAGCTTTCTTATCTTTGTGACTGTTATTACCTGACTGATCGCCATACAGGCCAGAGCCAATACAAAACCATCTGCTTAGTGCAGCCTATTTCAATGGCAGATAAGGCGCTGAGGAGGTTTGATGGTGCTGGATTTGCCAACATAACCACCATCAGACCTGTGTGAATACTTTGAGTGGGCATATAACTGCATGCATGTGCATGGAACACCAAGCTATCTTCCCAGGACTCAAGTCCCAAGTACAGTTACCATAGACCAATGAACCCTGTTGAGCTTTTCCTTGTCTCAGAGCAAAAACCTTGATTTCTTTTTTTCTTCCTCTAGAAGTCAGAACAACTTTCATGGATTCTCTTTTAAAATGACGATAATAATAATTCTCCAGCCACCTTCATCAGAGGCTGTATAGCAACGTGAGGGGTGCAGGGCCTGGCACATAAGTAAGCATGTTGCCAACATGAGCTGGTGAAAAATAATGAAAAATAATTTCACCATGAAAAATAATTTCATCATTTTTTCCTTATCCTGCTTCCCTCCCACCCCCCACCTATACCCAATTGTTTTTTCATTTGTTATTTCAAAATAACTCTTCGGCTGTCCGTTTCTCTTGGTTTCTGCTGCTACATTTATCTGGGAGTCAATTAAGTCATAGAAGTGATGGGACTGGAGTCAGGTGTGGAGGGGGGTCCTAGTGCTGCCACTAATTCCTGAAACATGCAGACAGTCTTCTCCATCTACCCACAGGGTAGTGTGAAGGCCAAATGAGCTGTCAAACAAAACTCTTTGATAACTCTATGGTGATTCAAAAATGTTAATTTTTAGATTTGTGGTGTAACTTTCAGCTCTCTCTAACACCTTATCGCCCTAGCCTAATATAGCTTATGTATTACTTGAAGGCTAATCTTAACATATTGATACCACCTTCATCACTTAGCAAAAGAATTACATGTACAAAGAACAATTTCCTCTTGATTACCTGAAGACTCCTATCTCCAAGAAGGAGATAGAAGGTCTAGACCTGCCTACCTATCCATTTCTTCATTCAGGTTTGCCTCTGTTACCATGTCTTCAAACTGCCAACTTATGGAGAATTATCTCCTTTAGTTTTTTTATTTGAATGTCATTGTACAACTTCTTTCATGTAACCAGTATTGTGATTTAAAATTTTCTCCCCTTCTAGATTTGGTTAGGAGAAACTCAATTTTTGACAAAAATATACATTATATAGGCTATTCACATCTCAGGCGTTGATTCAAATTCATGGACATATTTTCACATGGACATATTATGGACTTCTCTATGTTTGTTTTGAATTTTTTCCTATACAATTTTACTGAAAATATTCCTCAGAGGAAAAAATGAATAGAAGATGATTTACCCATTTGTTTGGTCAACTTAGCACCTGCAAAGTCACTGAAAGATGATTCATCTCAATTCAGTAGGTGAATCCTGTCTGAGGAATATTTTATTACTTTGATAGGAATTTAAAAACCAATGTCATTATATTTTTCTGTTGAACTAAAAGATGAAGCCTACATGGGCTGAATATCTTAATCACCACAAACATGTAATTTCTATAAAACAAGACAATTTAAATATCGTACTTATAAATAGCCAGTCCCATCAAGATTTCTTGTGTTACATTTATAAAGATATAAAAACCTGAGACTGGTTCTGGCAGCCAAAACAGTGGTATTTTTTTTAAAGGAATATATAGCTATTTTACTTGTTTTTCTTCATTCACTGCTTGGCAATGTAAGACAAGAGCTTTCTTGATTTTTCTATTCTCAGTTAAGGTTATGATTCGTATAACTAAATATTTGTCTATTTTGTCAGAACCTGTGTATAATACTTGATTATCATTTCAATAGTCTTTAGTGAATTCAGTGCACAAATACAATGTTTTAGAAATCTTTGACAAATATTGGTTTTGAACTTGGAGGCTTATTATATTTGGAATTATGAAGACTGACTGATCATCCTGTTTTTCCTTAATGATATTTAAGGATTGAATTTGGAAACATGGCCTGAGAATAGGATACAGTCACCTTACTGTGACTCAAAGAAACTTCCCTTCAAGTCCATAGGGCCATGTTTTCTAAGATACTACTTGTGTGTCAATACAGATAGTATCATTAAGTTTTGAAACTACCCAAAACCAAATAGGAACATCTTCCCAAAGCTTTTTAATAAATCAATGAAGATTTAAATTGTGAAAATATATTGAATTTCTTTTTCAATCCACTTTTTAAAATCTTTGCTATAATAGGATTATAAACCTATCCCATCTGGATATATTCCAAACAGCTCTATCATAATGTTATTTGGTGTGCTTCAGCAAATATGACTACTTTGCTATCTTATTTCTAATGTATTAGGCTCAAAATAATAACCCCACTCAAATTGTGCACACCTCAAAAATATATTTGTGTGATCATTTAACCATTTACATTCAAACATTGTATCATAAGGGAGCGAGTACTATGGCCCTGCTCCTCCTGTTCCTGCCTGGATCACCATCCTAGGAGATTTCATGAGCCTTTCGGAACTCTAGACTTCTAAATACTTTAATCATAATGACTTCACTTTATTTTAACTTTCAGATACAAATTCCCAGGGCAACACCCTAGGTTTTATAGTCATTTGGGATGGTTTTATTTCAGAAATTTTAAATACCAATATCCTACTCTCTGACACAATCTAACCAGAATTTAATTCTTACTCTTCTACCTCAACCTGCTCTCACATTCTTCCCCAGTTCAGATAATGGCAACTTCATCTCTCTATTTTCTTGGACTAAAAATCTTGGAATTGGGCCCTCCCTGGTGGTGCAGCAGGTTAAAGCACAGCACTGAGAATCTAAAAAGCCGCTTCCACATGAGTTCGATTCCCGCCTGCCCCGGAGGTGACCACATGGCGCGGCAGACCTCTCCTGGCCTGCCCGCTGCTCCCCTCAGCAGTGTATTTTGTCGATCTGCCTGTTCTGTTCCCCACTCTGTCTCTGGTGAAACCTCTCACCACCCCTGAGCCTCTGGCCTGTACCCCAGTTCTGTATGCACAAATAAATAAATCTTTAAAAAAAAAAAAATCTTGGGATCGTCCTTGACTCTGGCCCACTCTCCACATCTACTCTGGTATGAAGTCCTATTGTGCTATCCTTGAAATACACTCAGAATCCAACTACTGCTCTCCAGCTCTGCTGCTATCAGCTTGCTGCAAGTCTTACTTTATATTCACAATATGGATGACGGTAAAGGCTGGTCTCCCTGCTTCTACTCGGGATCTTCCTTGAGCAGTCAGAGCAATCCATTCAAAGTAAATCATGTGACGTCTCTGCTCAAAACTCTGTACAGACTCTCCATCTTAATCAGAGGGAAAGACAAAATCTTGACCTGTTCTATAAAGCTTACACATTTGGACCCTATGGTCTCTCAACCTCATTTCCTACTTCTTCCCCTTGCCCACTCTACTATATACAGGCCTTACTCATTTTAAGGTTTTGATGCTGCTATTCTCTGTGCCTGGATCATTTTAATTCACATATCTGCATGGCTCACTCATTCCTCCTATACCTTCATGTCTTTGTTCAAATGTTACCCTCAAATGTAAACCAGAGCAATGATGACAACCTGATTTAAAATCACATTCTTGGGGCCCTCCCTAGTGGCATGAAGGGTTAAAGCACATCATTATCAAGCTAGCTGCAGCTACTTCAACAGATCCCTGGCCAGCGAGCTGACTCACATGGAGTGTCAGACCTCTCCTGTCGCACCCACTGCTCCCCTCAACGTGTACTTCTTTGATCTGCCTGTCTGCTCCCCATTCTGTCTCTGGTGAATCCTCTCACTGCCCCTTCATCTCTGGTCTACTGTACCACAGTACTGTATGCGTAAATAAATAAATCATTTTTTAAAAAAATCACACTCTTTCCTTAGAAGTCAAAATCCAGGCCCTTCCTGCTGGCAAGGCGGGTTAAAGCACAGCACTAAGAAGCAAAAGCCACTTCAGCATGAGTTTGATCCCTGCCCTGGAGGTGACCCACATGGCGTGACAGATCTCTTCTGACCCGCCTGCTTCTCCCCTCAGCAGTGTACTTTATTAATTGGCCTGTTCTGCTCACTGTCTCTGGTAAATCCTCTCACCGCCCCGAACCTCTGGCTTGTACCCCAGTTCTGTATGCAT